CAAATAGATTAATTTAACTTTCACAAAGGGTTCCCACACTCCGGACTGTTCACCTTGACTACATCCTTCACCACTTCCTACGTCGTGTACCTGTTTCCCTCCCTTCCTAGAGCATTTTAGAATTTCAAATAGATTAATTTAACTTTCACAAAGGGTTCCCACACTCCGGACTGCTCACCTTAACTAAATCCTTCACCACTTCCTACGTCGTGGACCTGTTTCCCTCCCTTCCCGTAGCATTTTAGAATTGCAGGTAAATTAATCTAACTGTCAAAAGGGTTTCTACACTCCGGACTGCTCGCCTCGACTACTTCCATTACCACTTCCTACATCGTGGACCTGTTTCCCTCCCTTCCTATAGCATTTTAGTATTGCAGGTATATTAATCTAACTGTCAAAAGGGTTTCTACACTCCGGACTGCTCGCCTCGACTACTTCCATTACCACTTCCTACATCGTGGACCTGTTTCCCTCCCTTCCTATAACATTTTAGTATTGCAGGTATATTAATCTAACTGTCACAAAGGGTTTCTACTCTCCGGACTGCTCGACTTGACTACTTCCATCACCGCTTCCTTCGTCGTGGACCTGTTTCCCTCCCTTCCGATAGCATTTTAGAATTGCAGTTACACTAATCTAACTTTCACAAAGGGTTTCTACACTCCAGAATGCTCACCTCGACTACTTCCATTACCACTTCCTACGTCGTGGACCTGTTTCCCTCCTTTCCTATATTATTTTAATATTGCAGTTACATTAATCTAACTGTCACAAAGAGTTCCCACACTCCGGACTGCTCGCCTTGACTACTTCCATCACGGCTTCCTACGTCGTAAACCTGTTTCCCTCCCTTCCCATAGCATTTTAGAATTGCAGTTACACTAATCTAACTGTCACAAAGGGTTTCTACACTCCAGAATGCTCGCCTCGACTACTTCCATTACCACTTCCTACGTCGTGGACCTATTTACCTCCCTTCCTATAGCACTTTAGTATTACAGGTATATTAATCTAACTGTCACAAAGGGTTTCTACACTCCGGACTGCTCGCCTCGACTACTTCCATTACCACTTCCTACGTCGTGGAAAAATTTTCCTCCCTTCCTATAGCATTTTAGAATTGCAGTTACACTAATCTAACTGTCACAAAAGGTTTCTACACTCCAGAATGCTCGCCTCGACTATTTCCATTGCCACTTCCTACGTCGTGGACCTGTTTCCCTCCTTTCCTATATTATTTTAATGTTGCAGTTACATTAATCTAACTGTCGTAAAGAGTTCCCACACTCCGGACTGCTCGCCTTGACTACTTCCATCACGGCTTCCTACGTCGTAAACCTGTTTCCCTCCCTTCCCATAGCATTTTAGAATTGCAGTTACACTAATCTAACTGTCACAAAGGGTTTCTACACTCCAGAATGCTCGCCTCGACTACTTCCATTACCACTTCCTACGTCGTGGACCTGTTTCCCTCCCTTCCTATAGCATTTCACTATGGCAGATCAATTAATCTAACTGCCACAAAGGGTTCCCACACTCCGGAATGCTCGACTTGACTACTTCCATCACCGCTTCCTTCGTCGTGGACCTGTTTCCCTCCCTTCCCATAGCATTTTCGAATTGCAGTTACACTAATCTAACTGTCACAAAGGGTTTCTACACTCCAGAATGCTCACCTCGACTACTTCCATTACCACTGCCTAAGTCGTGGACCTGTTTCCCTCCCTTCCTATAGCATTTTAGTATTGCAGGTATATTAATCTAACTGTCACAAAGGGTTTCTACACTCCGGACTGCTCGCCTTGACTACTTCCATCACCGCTTCCTACGTCAAGGACCTGTTTCCCTCCCTTCCCATAGCATTTTAGAATTGCAGTTACACTAATCTAACTGCCACAAAGGGTTTCTACACTCCAGAATGCTCGCCTCGACTACTTCCATTACCACTTCCTACGTCGTGGACCTATTTCCCTCCCTTTCTATAGCATTTTAGTATTGCAGGTATATTAATCTAACTGTCACAAAGGGTTTCTACACTCCGGACTGCTCGCCTTGACTACTTCCATCACCGCTTCCGACGTCGTGGACCTGTTTCCTTCCCTTCCTATTGGAATTTAGAATTGCAGTTATATTAATCTAACTGCCACAAAGGGTTTCTACACTCCGGACTGCTCGCCTTGACTACTTCCTTTACCGCTTCTTACGTCGTGGGCCTGTTTCCCTCCCTTCCTATAGCATTTTATTATGGCAGATACATTAATCTAACTGCCACAAAGGGTTCCCACACTCCGGAATGCTCGCCTTGACTACTTCCTTCACCACTTCCTAAGTGTCGTGAACCTGTTTCCCTCCCTTCCCATAGCATTTTTAGAATTGCAGATACATTGTCACAAAGGCTTCCCACACTCCGGACTGCTCACTTTGACTACTTCCTTCACCACTTCCTACATCGTGGACCTGTTTTTCTCCCTTCCTATAGCATTTTTAGAATTGCAGATACATTATTCTAACTGTCATAAAGGCCCCCCACACTCCGCAGCGCTCGCCTTGACTACTTCCTTCACTATTTCCTTCTCTACTTCCTACATCGTAGACCTGTTTCCCTATCTTTCCATAGCATTTAAGTATTACAGATACGTTAATTTAACAGTCATAAAGGGTTTCCGTACTCCTTTCTTTTCACTGCTCACCTTTCCGCTTTCTTTACTACTCTCTACGTCGGGGACCTGTCCCCCCCCCTTCGCATAGCATTTTAGTATAAAAATATACCAACATTTTTGAATATTTAATATTCAATGCCAACATTAAATTGAATAATGTAAAAAGCTGCTTTGTTCTAAATACATACATACCTATATACTTTTAATTAAAAGGCGAAATTTTAATACCGAACATAAACGGTATATAACTGCCGACTAATATTGTTAAGTTCAATTTATTATTATGAAAGTTGTGAAATTTAATTAGCTTAAATAACATTATTCTGAAAGCTGTGAAATTATCTAATATATAAAATTCTCGTGTCACAGTGTTTGTCTGCAAACTCCTCCGGAACGACTTCACCGATCGTTATGAAATTTGGTGTGTAAATTCTGTAGGTATGCGAATCGGACGTAAACTATTTCCCGTTTCGAAATTCTTAAAAGGGCTCCGCCCCAGGGGCTCTGGAGTTTCCCATGTTAACCTTATGAGAAATGGAATTAATGAATCTTAACAGCTGTTTCAATTAAACAAGTTGGTTCTGTTCTATGATGTTCAATAGCATTAAAGTTACAAGGATTACCAACAGGGTGCAGTACTATTATTTCTTTTACATTTATGACAACAGCTAATTTGCAACCAAAAGGTGAGTGAGCGTAGCGAACGAACTTCAACCTGGAGGCGAGTTAGCGTAGCGAACGAGCTAACCTGAAGGCAAGTGAGCGCAGCGAACGAGCTCCAACCTAAAGGTGAGTGAGCGTAGCGAACGAGCTCCAACCCAAAGGTGAGTGAGCGTAGCGAACGAACTTCAACCTGGAGGCGAGTTAGCGTAGCGAACGAGCTAACCTGAAGGCAAGTGAGCGCAGCGAACGAGCTCCAACCTAAAGGTGAGTGTGCGTAGCGAACGAGCTCCAACCCAAAGGTGAGTGAGCGTAGCGAATGAACTTCAACCAGGACGTGATTGAGCGATGCGAACGAGATCATCTTGAAAATTAAACGTAACGGTACTTTCTTTCCATAGGTCTGTCTTAGGGGAAACCTATAACTTAGGCGATACGAAGTTCGCCGGGTCAGCTAGTAATGATATATATTCATAGACGCCAAACTGTTTACTCGATGAATGAAAGAGCTTAGAGTAAAAGTCGTTCTCTCTGTCTTAAGTAGACAACAAAATTGTTGGTCGCAAAACGTAAACAAATAAAAAGAAGAAGAAGGTAGCTCCTACTGTTATTCTTATGGGACAAATTTAAAAATGTTTTTTAAGTATTTTATAATTACTACTGAGCGGAATCGTCTAGAATTTTAATGGTGTCTTTACACTGGTGTCATAACTATTTGTGCAAAATTTGAACGCTATAAGTGCAACGGTTCTTGAGTTTTAGGTGCGAACACACACACAGACATACTCCAGCGGACAACTTTTCTCCGACTCCGCTATACACGATACATAGATTCGTTCACTCATCTATTAACTGCCAACGATACACCATAACTCCAGTACACTTCTTAAAATTTAGTGCTGTATTTTTACAATCCGCTTTACAATTATTATATTTTTTAATTTTAGTATATGAATTCACTGCAAGGATAACCAGTAAGTAACTAGTACAAGAATGGAGTTTTAGTTATGATTCCACATATACTATTTAAAAACAATAGGCCTACTGAATCATAGTGTACTCACGTGAAGGAGTTGAGGTCACTATTACAAAATACTGTATAAGAAGGTTACAAAGGCATTGTTGACAAGTTTTTCTGCAGACATTGGGTTTTACTGAAGATATTTCGTACTGAAGCAATCATTACACCGTTGTGGTGTACGAACCGGCAAGAGTAAAGGTTATGAAGTAGCAACAGACGTGGGAAGGAAAGTAAAAGAGACAAGTTTACGATTCAATATGGCGGCCATTAAGCCAAAACAGCAGCAGTTCTGAGGTTATGTTTCACATAAGTCGAGACTAGATAACATCAAACCATCGTCCGATGCGCGGCGATGGGGCAGCGACAACATTTACATTGGAATTACTTTCTGTTGTCCTCCGACTTTAAAACTCTCTTTCTTATCCTTTCTCCTTTCCTGTCCGTACACTCCAACTTTTATTAGCGTCCACTTCAATATTCTGTTTACCTTGTAGTACCCGTGGATTCCCACGATGACAAACCCCTCAGTGGTTATAAGGTAATAAGTGTGCGGAAAATGTTATTTCGCAATTACTACCGTGAATGTTTTTAAAACTATTACTACAGAAAGCGTGTTCCTGTAATGGAATCTTAGATAAATAAACAATCAAACAACTTACAGTAAGTTGAGTGCATGGAGGTCCTTGAACGTGTCTTTTCGGATGCAGGAGATCTCATTTGCGTTCAATAACCTGGGAACAGTAATGGGTAATTAATACAGACAGTAGATACATAACAATCAATGCTAGACAAATACATTTATAGAAAAGCAATAATAGAATTTATTGTAAAGCGTTATTGCATCTGACTTACAAAAGCTGCAGTGAAGAGAGGCCGTGGAAGACGCCTGCGGGAAGGTCCTTAATCTTGTTGCCGTAGAGAACCCTGTGACAGAGATAGAGAATTACAAGAGAAAGAGAGGGGAATTAACAAGTGATTATCCCATAACTCGGATACCCCTCCTCCCCCCAGACCGGTGCTAATGACCAATTACAATTACTGTACACCTGTGGAGACATTAGCCGGTCTGGAAGCGATATTGCCATTTAAACGTTGAGTGCAATAAATATGATTCTAGGACATTATGTTTTCATTCAAACACTGTTAATGAAGCTGTCTGCCAATAAAGCGTTTTTTTTATTAGTTAACCCCGGCTAAACAATAAAGGGTTTATGTGAAAATATTATTTACTTTAGTTGTATTTTCACCCGCGATTTCCGTAATTTACTCAGTTGCCACACTATTAAACTGATCACCAGCATACTTCATTAAGGAACATGTAGGAGGAGAGCAATTCTGGCTAAAAATGTGAAACTTGAGCGTACAATGGTGACTGACAGATTCATTAAAACTGTATAAGAGAGGTGAGAGAAAGAGAGTTGGGGGGGGGGGTAGAGAAAGAGAGATGAAGACTGTCAGGTTGACGCGGTAATTCTCACACATTAATGTTACAAGTGTCGACACGAGACTTCATTACGAGAGGGAGATGTTCGCAGCTGGGAATTTACGTTTATATTAATGTAAAAGCGGAACATTTAAACGAACACAAACTTAAACATGCTATTGTTTGTTGAGGTTGGCAACAACGTGTCTTGGGCACGTGAATATCTGTAAATATCCAAAAACCAATATCTATTACAATATATCATCTTCCTAGTTAAATTCTCCTAAAATCATGGTTACAGGGGAAATTATAGTTTATCTGAAATGCAAAACAATTGGTAAAATCTGTTTTTACACCAATGTCAAAGAAATTACAGAGAAGTAACAGGGATTACTTACAAAGACGTTAGTGACTTGAGTCCCAAGAAAGCATCCACTGCCACTTTAGAAATTTGGTTCTTGCTCAGATCTCTGAAACATGATGAACACACTCACATTGTGGCGAAACATATATTGTCTTCAAACATATACTTTTATAAACACCTATTGATACAAACACTCAGCCACGCATACTTAACATACTTAACACATACTGAAACACATAATACGTAACAAAGTACCTTTAAAATGTTAACAGTCGCTGCTTACATATTTATTTTTCCAGTTCTATCGCCAATCAATTCTAAATTGAAGAATGGATATCCATGAATTTTTTAAAACGTTTTTACAGTGACAATAGATAGCAAATCAATTGAATAATAAAACATGCAAAAACACTGTAATTTAAATTTGGACTTCCACGGAAATACAAAACTACTTTCGTTCAAACTCGTGCAAATAAAGAATCTTAGGAAAAGGCCCATAATGTACCGCTGCGTTGAGATAAATATCATATCCGAGAAATAATCAAATTTATAAGTTTTGATTGAATAACACATAATCTTGAACATAACTGATTCAAACAATCAATGGCACGAATTAAAGCCTATAATACTGATTATGTTTAGTCTAAAACATAAAAAAATAAAACAATACTGGAGCTATTGGTTTTTAATCATAGAAATACTTTATGAAATAATTTTAATGTTGGTTTTTCACCTTGCGTTTGCTTGAAACCTATCCAATTTGAGTAGCTAATAGCTTAAATGAAAGCCGGTATTTTACCGAAGGCTCTTAGACCAAAATATATAGGATTATATAATTATAACTGGTGAAATACATCTAAAATTAAAGCAAGAACTCAAAAATAAATCAAATTTATATTTTTTAGACGAACAGTAGATAAATATGATGATGCTTGATGTGAGATCTGTGCGTTCATACCTTCAATTTGAGACATCAATAATGAAAATCGGTCGGGTAGAAGAGCCAAACGAACTCGTAAAAGAAAAACCAATTTTAACTTCCATAGTAAATACATGGGGAGCAAATTTCGTTTACGTATAAGCCAAATAGTACTGTAGTAGATAAATATATGCTAATGCTTGATGTCAAATCTGTGCGTGCGTACCTTCAATTTGAGACCCCATCATGAAAATCGGTCGGGTTGAAGAGCCAAACGAACTCGGAAAAGAAATACCAAATCTCTTAATATAGGTACTGTATAAGATTATATCACACTTTTATATATTTTTCTCCAACTTGAGAAGCTATTGGTTGATTAGTGTTCGTTCTTGGTTTAGACCTTTCGATTGCCCCTACTAATGGGTTGATCAGGTTTAGTTGTCAATCGTTAATTAATTCTCTTGGTTCTGTGATTGTCTACGCACACCTCACAACCCGATGTTGACTTAGGTCAGTTATAGCGCCTAGCTGACAACACCAGCGCCACCTAGCTGACGACAACACCAGCGCCACCTAGTTGACGACACCAGCGCCACCTTGCCGAACATGGAAGTGGACAGCAAAGCCACCTAGCCAAAGATATGACGTTGGCTGTCTGTACACCAACAGCATTGCCAGTTAACTGTCGACGGGACGACGGAGGCTGTAGCATTGCAACATCATCACGCCAGCTGCACCTTGATGAACAGTTGTTGACTCCAGTTGCAGGTTAACTTGTGTTTCAATTACTGACAATAGTATTCGCACTACAGTACAAGGTTGATTAGATACTACTTGCCGGAAGACAATAAATCTCATGACAAAGGTGTTTTGTAAGATCAGCTAGAGTTGGGAGCAAGTACACGGCCGGTAAACTTAATATTTTGAAGCTGCCAAATGTGTATCACTGCAATGAAGAAATCGTCTTAAAGGACAATAAACCGTCTATCAACGCTGCGGAGTGGCGTTTCGTAAATTGCAGTACAGTAGGATGAGTATATGATGTTAACTGTATGATTTTTTTAAGTAATGTATATTTTTCACCTGCGAAACTTTTGGTTGTACGCTCAACATAACCGCGTACGTGTAATCTCACCAAAGGATCTATCAATACCAGAATACCTCATTTTTCATTTTGTTACATTTCAAGAATATTTTCACCAATTGGTTGACAAGCAGCCTATTCAATGGAAATCTATCTTATATCACTCTCTTTGGTATGTTATCTTTTAAGTAAGGAAGATTTATTGTAAAATGAACCAAATCGTCTTCATTTACTGTCCGTTGTATAATATCTAACCATGCGAGGGTCAATGTAACAGTTAAATAAACGATATTAAAATAGTACTGGGAACAAGAGAGTAAAATAACTTATTCCGCCCAGGGGTATCCCGTGTGGCGGTGTGGGGTCTCTCCATTACAGGGCCAAGCGTGTAGAATGTCTGCCCACTGTGCGTGTGTCTATGTGTGTGTATGTACCACTTTACTGCCTTCGCGTGACAGATATACACACAATTACTACTCACTTTTATAGCTCTTGAGGAATTCGGTCAGATGATTTTCTAATAATGGTCAGTTTTGTCGGAAATGCAAGGCTGCAGGGCCGATTTACCGAATAGGCACGGTAGGCACGTGCCTAGGGCGCGAGGCAATTGGCTTTTTTTGGGGGCGCCAAAATTTGGAAATTAAAAAAAATCGTGGTAGTATTTGCATGCTATTGCGGTAAACTTCTGATAACCCCTCGCGGCCGTGTAGGCATCGTAATCGTCTCCCGCGTTTGCGGCAAGATTCTTACTACTTTCTGCGGTCAGGTCGTTTGGACTTATAATTATCGTCTTCCATGATCGAGGCAATATATGAACATATCCAGCGGTCGTGAGGAGATTATCATCGTCTACCACAAATGAGGCGAAATTCTGATATTTTCCCGCGGTCGTGAGGACATTATCCTCGTCTTGCGCGATCGCGGTCAAATTCTGACCACCCCTCGCGGTCGTGAAGACATCATATCGTGCCCCACGGTCGTGTAGACATAGTAATCACCTCCCGCGATTGTAGAAAAACGGTAATCATCTCCCTCAGTCTTGTGGAAGTCATCATCCTCTTACGCAAATTAGGCAACATTTTGACCTTTTTTCGTGTGGCCATAATCATCGTCTTGCGCGATTGCGATAAAATTCTGATCACCCCTCGTGGCCGTGAAGACATCATTATATCGTCCCCGTTGGTCTTTTGGACATAGTGATCGCCTCCCGCGATTGCGGCAAAATGGTAATCATCTCCCGCGGACATATGGAGATAATCGTCTTCGGCGAATGAGGCAAAATTCTGATCTTTTCCCGCGGTCATGTGGACATTATCATCGTCTTGAGCGATCGCGGCATTATTGTGATCATCCCTCGTGGCCGTGTAGAAATCATTATTGTATTCCGCGGTCCTGTAGACATCGTAATCGTTTCCCGCAGTTGTGAAGACATCGTAATCGTCTCCCGTGATTGCGGGAAAATGTTAATAATGCCCTCCAGTCGTGTGGAGATCATCATCGTCTTCTACGATCGCGGCAAAATTCTTGCTGTTTCCCGCGGTCGTGTGGACATTATCATCGTCTTCTGTGATCGTGGCAATACTCTAATTATCCGTTGCGGCTCTGTTGATACCATCATCGTCTTCTGCAATCGCGGAAAATTCTGATCATCCCTCGCGGCCGTGTGTAGACATATTATCGTCTCCCGCGATCACGGAAACGTCACTTTTGTCATGCGCGATCACGGTAAATTGAAAACTCCAGGTACAAATACAAAATTCACGGTTTTAAAAATCCCCCGCATGATTCCCGGATTTCCCAGTCGCTGGACACCCTGTTTTATATATATATATATTGCAAAGGGGCGCTACTTATAGATGTGCCTAGGGCGCTGACAGGGTCAAAAACGGGCCTGCAAGGCTGTTGTAGGAACTGTTGTAGCGACGTGAATACCTTGTTACACGCATATGGCCTATATGTAGAACAATACACTTAACTAGTAACTAAGTCTTTCACCAGTCAAATACGCTATATATGATTACGTGTTTATTGTGTATAGGTGTGTAAAAACTGCGTCTTTTTAGAAACATCAATTGTGTTACAGTTTGATATTATCCGTTTATAAGGGGTATTTTCAAACGACGGTCTACAAGTCGCTGTAAGATTAGTTATAAAATAAAGTTGTCGATATAAAATATCCATCCCGCGACGCTACGAGAGCCCTAGAGCCTTCTCGTCGTAAACTGCGCCAATGTCGCGATCCTACGGTTTGCGATAGAAGTAATACTGAGTAACGCACTTGCCACACACACACACATATACACTGACAGCCAGGTCACCGCACGCATATTACATACATATACAATACACATAAACATGCATCGTGCACTGACCACGATGTATTACTTAAACCCATTGATTTGATATACATATTTTGTTTGTAACTATGTCACTGGTGCTCGATTTGTTGTGGGTCCTTTGATAATCAAGAAATAACGATTCCAACGGAAAAACGTTTAAAATAGACATCTAGCGAAGAAATAGTTAATATAAGGCTATAAGCCCAAATAAGCTTAAACATATTAGCCCAAATGGTCAAATAAGCTTATAAACATATTCAACACTACAATTAAAACCAATACTTTCCAACAAGATTTTAGGGGAAGTATATTTGGATAGTATTAAAAATACAATTACAATTCCATAGTAGTAATCATAACTAGTTAGGAACAAAATTTAAGGTCGTGAGCCCAAAATGTATTGTGTGAACAAAAAGTATTCATAAATAACAATAAACATATACTCACATTCTGCGCAGTCGCTTGTACGAGGCGAAGGCTTTGGGAGGGATCTCCGTGATGTCGTTCTGCTCGAGCCTCCTGCAAAAACACAATTACAGCTGAGCTGAGGCGACTAATGGCTGGCCAGCTTATTGTTTTACAAGGGAGCTTTTTGCATATTCCCTCCGAGATCCCTTCATTTAATTACGTTTAATTACGCTAACAGGAATACATCTACTACAACTCAAACGTGGCGCGCTATTCAGTGGGATATTTGTGTTCTAGGAGAGCTTCACATTGTGTATTTATAGTCATTGGTTTAACGTAAAACATTGACAGTTCTGTTGTCGATATGTGTTGATGAATTGATTCGTTTTCCAGACCTGTTTAGCAATCAAAAAATAAATTGTATACATTTATTTTATTCTTTCATATTTTTATTGACGTTTAAGGTTATGTACAGTTATTAAAATGCATATAACTTCTAGTTTCAGAGTATCTCAAACTGCCAATGTAGGTTTGTAATTTTCCATGGCTACAGGTATTTTTATCGAAACCATCTTTGTCATATAGTTAGTATTCAAGGTACAGGATGTATTGAAATTGATTGAATATCACAATGATCGCTGCTTAAGGCAACTCAATCGCTTAAAAAAACGGTTGTACTAATACATCAAGAAATTGTCTTTGGTCCCAAGACTGAGGGAAACGTGTTATTGCTCATATAAAGTACAGTCCATTATGTGAGTACTGCACGATTTCGACTAAGGATAAAACAATGTCAAAAACGCTTTACCACTACAGTATTAATTATACGAAAAAGCCAAAATACGAATTGTGTAATATGAATTGTAAAAAATAAAAATTGAGGTACTGTAGGCAATAACTAAATCGCCCAAGTTAAATTGTACCCATCCCTCCTAGTCTGTCTACACTTCTACATAAAACAAAACAAAAAGGATTCTGCACAAATAACATTTAACGGAACAGATGACGACCTAAACTACCGACGTGTCTTATTATAGGCAATTTAAATTTTTTATACGAATCATAAAGGCAATAGAGGCGCGGTCTTGCGGAACGCCGCGGGTCAAACTGCCCATAAACCTTAGTAATCACTCATTAGTGCCACACACCACACACCATTGCATACCTCAACCGTTCTGATAACAAATAGGGAGTTTCAAGTTTTCTTTGACATTATTTTATGTTTCCTGCTTTAACATGTATAACTACCAAGAACAATTTGAATAGCTTTTAATGCCTCAAATATTTAATGAAGGTATTACCATCGTAAGTAGATTATGAATTGACTTTGTTACATAGGTATTGCGTGGACTACTAGAAAAATGAATGTTAATATGTATAATATAACCAACTATTGGGTGATCCGATAAGACAAATGTATTTCCGAAACATTTTAAAATGAAAATATAACGCGGTTACACACTTATCGTTTATCCTGCAAGTCAATTATTTAAAAAGTTTGTTTGATGGTATGCATCTTTTTTATCTATGAGGATAATGTAGGTGAATTTTTAACAATAAATTTTTTACGCTTTCAAATCGGTTTTTCAGATGCATTAACAATTATTTGGTAGAATCAAACTATCATGGACAAAATTGACTTAGTATCAAATTATGCGTTAAATTTAAATGACACAACGGGTTTACAGGTAGGTACCCCATTTTAGTTCTAACTGGAATTGTATATACTGATTTAAAGTGGTACTATGCCTTGATATTGTATTGTTTTACACCAGTCTTACATGAGCTTCAATGTGATTTATCTCAGTAACTGATGTTACTACGGTGTCACACAAGTACAACTAAACCGTCGAATCACTCCAACTCTCCAAGCCTGTTCATGTATATGTTACAAGATAATAAAAATTCAATTCATCCAAGCGAAAGTTAATATTGCAATGGTTTGCAATACCAAACATCGCATTGCAGTTAATTCAAAGTATTGTTTACTATTGTTATCAGTATTTATGAGAAGAGCTGTTCATGGCCTAAATTCCCCAATACAAGGATAACATTGTGGTCAGGTCGACTTGTGGCTGGCTTTCTTGTCACTTCGCTCTTGTAAAACGATACTAGTTACTACAAAGACTTCATATCGTGTTACACCTCAAATTAATCCTAGAACTTCCTTAAGACAATATATACCTGAATATTGGACAATGTCAAGTATATTATTTAGTTTTAGCGAATTTCCCAATAGGGAACTAGGTAGTAGGTGGCACGATAAGACCTAGGCCCGGGACCGATTAAATTTTTCATACGGAAGTCCCTGGAGGCATAAAACACCATTCGTATTTTATACACGTATATTATATGTAGAGTTGTATATGTGTCCGTGAGCTCGAAAACTCGAGTAATTTTTGTCCAATTTGATGAAATATGGTTTAAAGGTATAAGGCGAAAAAAACTTGAAAAAGTTCGCGAACCTTTTGAAATAACCGCTGTAGTGGCTTTCCCCTCCCACAAGCAATCAAAGAGTTAGATGCAAAAATAAGTAACTACGACAATTATAAAAACTTTATTCTGGTTGGTGATGTCAATATAAATTTAAATGATAAAACTAATGTTTATGTTCAAGAATATGAGACCATGCTGATGTCATGGGGCTTAGATAGAGGCATCTGGGACAGTACACGAGAAGAAGTAAGGCTAAATACATTAACAAAATCATGCATAGACCATATCTACTATAGATTCAGAACCCCCTTTGAGAAAATTCAAACAGGTGTGATAAAAACAAAAATCTCAGATCATTACCCAATTGTAGCAAAGATAGAATTATCGGGAGGAGGAAAAAGAGACACACAGGTAGAAAAAACTAGATTAAATGAGCCGCTTCTGGAACGAAAGCTAAAGGAGGAAAACTGGGATATTAAAAACTACGATGATGTAAACAAAGGTTATGAAGAGTTAATTCTAAAATTTAAAAAGATTTATCAAGACAGTACAATTACATTTACCACCTCAGGTGGGGGGCACACTGGGCAAAGAAACACTCACAAGAGAAACAAGCGAAAGGAATGGATGGATAATAGGACTCTGGACCTGGTAAAGGAGAGAGACAGAATTTTTAGGTTATGGAAAGGTGACCCCTCAAACAATAGATACAGGAACCTATATAAAACCTTAAGAAATCAGGTAGTTAACCAAATAAGAAACACCAAAAATAACTACTATAAGAGGTTGTTTGAAGAGAACAGTAAAAACACAAGGAAGATATGGGAAAATATAAACAGCTTGTTAAATAGAAAGAAAAAGAACAGTATTGATGTTACAGTAAGAAATGCTATGGGAAATATATTAAGCGAGAATGATATTGTGAGTGGTTTTGCTCAGTATTTTATTGATGGAGTGGATAATATTAAACATGAATGTAGTGCAAACAGACCCTTAATATCACAGGCAGATCCCAGCACAGAATCGCTAGAAAGCCTATACATTCCACCTGCCACGACAAAAAAAGTCAAAGATATAATTAAAAGTATGGATTCAGAAAAATCACCAGGTATAGATGGCATCAGAATGAAGGATGTCAAGTTAGTAGTTGAAAAAATATCAGAACCTCTATCAAAACTAATTAACCTCTCAATTTCACAAGGAACTTTTCCAGATTGCTTAAGGACTTCAATAATTAGGCCTATTTATAAGAGTAAAAGTAAGAAAGAATTCCAAAACTACCGTCCAATTGCAATTTTACCATCATTCGAAAAAATATTAGAGAAATATATATTAAACCATCTCTATAGCTATATAGAAAACAATAACTTTTTGAGCAGGAAACAATTTGGTTTTAGAAAGAACTGTAGTACGGAGCATGCCCTAACAGATTTTGCAAATACTGTAAACAATATCTTAAATAATACCTGCCACGGATTAGGCCTATTCATAGATTTTTCTAAAGCCTTTGATACTATAGAACATTTAAAAATAGTCTTAGCTCTCAAAAAACTAGGTGTGAGGGGCCCTTATTTGAGATTATTTGAAAGTTACCTTAAAAAAAGAAAGTTTGTAGTGAAGGTTATGAATGAATTTAGTGATGAAAAGGAGATAAAATATGGGGTACCTCAAGGAAGCCAAATTGGACCAATACTGTTCATTATATACTTGAATGATTTACTAAACATGATAACCAATTGTGATATATGGGCATATGCTGATGACATCCTATTTTTCTCAGGTCATAAAAACTTTAAAAATGCAGTAAACATTTTACAGGAAGATTTTAACATACTTAACAGATGGACACATGATAATGGGTTAATTATTAATGAGCACAAAACCTGTATCCTGCACTTTCACCCTAGAAATATTAAACTAGAAGGAAGTGTTATGATTAAATACCATGATTGTGACTGTCTACAAGGTTTAAAAGAGTGCAACTGTAGTAACATAAAGGTCACAGACAGCACTAATTATTTGGGCCTTACAGTAGACAACAAACTCACTTGGAAAAACCATGTAGCTGCGCTGAATAAGAAATTAGGTTCATGTACTGCACTGATGTACAATTTAGAAAATAAAGTTACACCAGAGGTTAAAATAGCTGTATACAAGTCTTTATTTGAATCAGTGATGAGATATGGCATAAATGTGTGGGGAACCACTGCAAATAGCCATTTGAAAATAATAAATAACCTACAGAAAAGATGCTTAAGGGCTTTGGGTCTTAGAATGGATAACAATAACCAAGTTGACACTAAATATTGCATAGGCCTATATAAATTACTTACACCAAAGGGAATCTTCACTTATAATGTGTTAATTAAAAACCATGGAAATAGTGTATATAAAATCAAATCTCGAAGACCAGTACAAACTAGAAATGTTATCAAATACATAACACCAATACCTAATACTATGTATGGGCAAAGACTGGCAGAGTATCTGGTCCCATACCTGTTTAATAGGCTACCAACAACTATAGAAAATATACAGAACAAAAAAGCCTATAAGATAGCAGTATTTGAATGGCTCTCAAGCAGTGAAGTAAACTTACCTTAGGTTCACCCAGCCTAAATATTATGTTCCAGGCAAAATAAAAACGACTAGGCCAAGCTGGCATCTAACTACATCGGATAGGACACAAAACACACACATATCACATAAATAAATAAGACACTTCACAAAATTAGGTTAAAACTTTGCTAGAGCACACAATTACAGCCACTGTTAAATACAATTTTTACAAACACACACAAAACCCACCACATCAGAAACACAGTACAAAAGACATCTATCAGGGAAGAAAATATCAAAGAAAGCTTCTCAAACATATTAGTTTTTTTATTTTTTCTCCGCTTTGTATAAATAAATGCCTGCATGGGCATAACTTTTATTAGTGAGAGGTTATGTCTCAATTCATCAAATTTTCAGGAAACAAGAAACAAACGACAAACAAACGAATACTTTTTTTTCTCCAGTTAGACACTGCCTCTTCAATATTTAGAAACCCCTGGTCTATGAACCAGGAGAACAAAGACTTTGGAATGAAGCATTGATTATAAATCAGCAATTTTTTTCAAACTAAATAAATCAGCATTATTATGTAGCTTAGATAGGTGCCTGCCACAAACCGCCATAGAATTAGTAGCGCTAGAATATTTATATTTGTAAAAAGAAAAAGAAAAAAAAAATGTAAATTTGTTTGTTACATTTTTGTGAATCAATTGGACCTCGCCGACAAGTTTTGCAAACTTGGCGAGGCCAGATTTTGTATTATCACAAATAAATAAATTTGAATTTGAATTTTTGAATTTGAATTTGAACCAGCATGATCGGACCATGGGAACGGGGGTTTACGGGGAGTTTTATGGGGTAAAATTGGGTTTTCTCATTTTTGACCCTCAAAACACAAAATTTCTCAATTATTATCCAGACCTTTTTAAAGACTTAAAACAAAAAATGGTTTAGTATACCAAAGTGTTTCTGTACAGTTATTAGTAACGGAGAGAATTAAAAAAAAAATTAAATTTAAAATTCTCACGTTATTTCTATGGAGAATATTGTAAAATGTTGTTTGCTTGTTTATTCATATATTTTTACCAAACTTGGCACATTTATTTATTTTATCCTAACATATTTATACATATACATATACACATTTATACATTATTAACAATTTACTAAAACAACACTTCATTAGTTTCCTTGTAGCTACAAACCAAGGTACTCGTTAAACCTTACGTTACCTTACGTTTGATTGAATTGAAAATTAATTCAGACAAATGGTAATTCGCTTAGTCAGCAGGTTTGCTGTGGCGGGGGTATTTGTTATTGCATAGTACTGAAAGGGAGTAAGTGTGGAAACCATGTTTTTCTTGTTTACAAATTGACTCAAAAGGAGTTAACTGATTACCTATTTATCTTCATCGCAGCGCCAGGAATATTAGTAAAATTTTCATACACTCTATTTTCCAGCGTGTAAACATAACTGCTTTGTATAAGCTTTACATTTAGTTTAAAGTGTATATTTTACTTTCAGAACTCGGAAAATTGAGAATATGAACTTTTAAGTAGCGTATTCTTATAATCATACACAAATTGACTATCAGAAAAAATAGTGGTAGTGGTAGAGTTGAAGTTAGACGTAAGGGTAGGAGAGGTGGAGTTAGAGGTACAGTATATGGTAGTCAGTGATGAATATCGAGCTCGAGGACTACGTAAATATATTCGCCCGGATTTGTTATGTAATCTGTTTAATCTTGTAGAGTCAATGTTATTGAATAGGCGACCCAAGCAAACTTTATCGGAATTGTTGACCGAAGGATCTATTTTTTCGAAAAATGGCGATATTGTGTTTATCCGCGCATATATACAATTTTGATCTTGTATTTTAGTTATGTAGAATGCATTCTAAAAGATTATGCTGTGTAAAGAAATGTGTTGAATTAAAATTAAAATGCAATTTAACGAAGTTAAACTAATAGTTTTAAATTTATTTAATTTGTATACAGATTTTTTCTATTCTGCTCATCAATGTTATTTCTTTTATTTCAAATATAAATGGATTTCTTAAACCAGATAATACACTGAAAAAGATTTAATATATATCCTTGAATTATTTATTTTTGTACAAGGGTAACAATAGTTTCTAAATTACCCAATTAAGAGTATTCAACGAAAATGTATTATTACTTATTATTTATTTACTTATAACTATGTCATTATAGTAATTGTAAAAAATAATAAACACATGATTTTAATCCTGTTGCTTCTATTAAATAGAAGTATATAAGAAACTTTCCCAGTAGACTGCAACAGTCTCTGGAAGGTAGTGTTGAAGTTTTTTGAAGTTATTACGAGAGACGGGGATGCCGCCCCCTGAGGACCCAAACTCATGAAAGTCATTACCAAGTATATTATTGGTTACCAGACTAGTCAACCCTGCCTCTGCACTTCTCATCTGTGAACACCTCTGCCTTTGGACGTGTCGCGTCAAATGTGACAATGCATTGTTTCTTTTCGCGATATTCAAATTACATGTTTACGTTTTTAAAAAAAATTCCAAAATAAGGTTGGACTAACTATGGTTTAACTGAAGGAATAGTTTTACATAAAAAATGCAATTACATTGATTCAGTTTATATTGATAATTGACGCGGCCACACATTGATTGCACACATGTATCTGAAAATGTTAGGTCTCGTAAAAATATACATTGTGAAGTTATCCAAAATTATTTAAAAGTTAAAAGCCAACTTTAAATCATTTTAAGATTGTTTAGATATTTAATATTCTATGCTTTTAAAATAACATATGATATTCTTCATGTTTATCTTACATCTGTTTACAAATAAGTTGTTGTTATGTTTTTTATAAATAGAAACTTGTAATGTTGCTAAAAAATGTCTCTTTTATTTAAAACTAATTAATTAAAACTAAACATGGCGCAGTCGTGCATTTGAGTGTATTTATATTTGTTTGTGACTGCTCAAAAAATGGAATTCAATAAACCAAGATCATACGTAGTGCAATATAAAAATGGAAAACAATTCAGAAGAAACTCATTTTTCATAAGAAAAAGAAAAGTTGAATTTGTCAAAGGGGAAGATGTTTAGATATTTAATATTCTATGCTTTTAAAATAACATATGATATTCTTCATGTTTATCTTACTTCTGTTTACAAATAAGTTGTTGTTATGTTTTTATAAATAGAAACTTGTAATGTTGCTAAAATATGTTCCCTTCTTTAGAACTAATTAATTAAAACTAAACAAAGATAAATTTAAAAAAAGATTTGTGGTAGCAGTACAAAGTTCTGATTGATTTTGACTTCCTCGTGTCCACGAGATTTGCACAGAGTAAAAGGCGTTGGCAAGGACACGAGGTTAATTTGCCGTTTAATTGCCGATGATGCCTGGAGAGGTACGAGTGAGTGGGAGTCTAAACACAGCCTACACTAACACAACACCAGTGGCAGCGGTCTAGCCCATCAGCAGATCAACGTCTCGATACACCCAAGCTTGGAGACAGACGAGAAATACTAGGCTACACATTAGTTGAAGGCCTGCTCTATAGCTGAGAAATCTAGGATTTGTCTGTAACCTTAAGACGCCTACCGAGCGAGGTTCTATAAATTTAATTATTTTACAACAAACATCAAATTAACATTTCCCTTGGCTGTTGGTAATTTGTATTCAGAAGAGAGAATGTTTAAACGCGAAGGAGAGTGGACTAGTTTAGTAAACAAGGGAAGAGACCGGTTGTGGTTGTAGGTAACAGACGGTAGCTGGAGGAGTGGCCACTGGCTAGGTCTCGTGTAGTGTTACGTTACACTGGTCGTGTCTGTATGGTAGACTTACAGTTCGGTAGTGCCCTCGGGTAGATGGTCTGGCACTTTGGCAAGCGCCTTCTCCCTGCAGTCCACGATGCCGTCAGCGCAGCGACAAGGGTGTGGACACTGGGGCTCGCTCTGGCACTCCCCGCTCGGCCTCTCCACAAGACCTGTACACACCACAACCCACTCAACATTCTACTCATATTGTGTACTGCAACAAAAACTACATATAGGAAAATTATACAGTACCTTCAATTGTCTTTCAGTTATAAATACGTTACTTTAAATATGCGTAATATACATCCAAACACACGAGATCATCCCAGGGTGAAGGGGAGAAAAAGAGAGATCCGTTACATTATCGTGTTCATCAATATGAGTATCTGTAGCACTCTAGATAACATCGAACATTGTCTGCCAGCGGTATAATGTAACAGAGAGAAAGGCGGGGAGAGGCGAACGCATTGTACCTACAAGAACACGACAAGGCGGTCGGGGTTAAGACGGTAAGTAACTTGTTGGTTAACCGTAATTGAAGATGATAGGGAACAATAGTGCACCGAATCTGCATTGACCCCTGGAACAATATGGTTCTATTGTCACGATCGGAAACAATAAGCTGCAACTCCTCCTCAGCAATTCATTGAGCAGTTGAACTGTAGTCGTGCGGGTCAGCCACGGAGCGGTGCGGTTTTACACGACGCGACGGCAGGTGGGAACGGTTATGACGCTGCACGAGGAACTGCTTTGGCAAATTAGGAAAAATACGCTGCATATGACTACTTTACTATCGTAAATATATATACGGTATATATATTTTTCTAATCCCTGGATTTTGTTAATAGTATTTTCCTTTGGATCAAAACTACGTTCTAAATTCAAACACTATGTAAATTATGAGTAACTTGACAGGTATTTGTTATTCTCTGTATCTGTGCTTCTTCAAATCTCGTTCTACAAATTCTAAAGCTAAAATTACAGGTTAAAAAAGAATGTCTCAAGATAATGCATTATGCATAGGCCCATTAACAGCAAAGTCTACAGTGTTTCTAAGGTATTCAAATAGCTTGATAACGATCTAACAATCAGCATCCCAGCATACTCTCGACATGGCGAAGGAACGTACCTGAACACTTGAACTCCTGGTCGTGAAGGTCAGCTACGTTCTGTCCCTTGAGTTGTGTGGGGGAGAAACATCTCGTGTAAAGCGCCAGTCGAGGAAAACGACGCAGCCACCTCGCCAACCAGGACAAGTGGCAGTCACAGATCAGGTTGTTGTCCGACAGTCGCAGCGTCCGCAGCCGGAACAACTCCGAGAACAGGTTCTCTGGCAGGGACGTCAGGTTGTTGTTGTTCAAAGTCCTGCAACAACAGTTGTCTATGAAGCTTACATATCATGGAGGTTGGTGGAGGTCATATGACAGTCACAGATCTAGTTGTTGTCCGACAGTCGCAGCGTCCGCAGCCGGAACAACTCCGAGAACAGGTTCTCTGGCAGGGACGTCAGGTTGTTGTTGTTCAAAGTCCTGCAACAACAGTTTCTATGAAGCTTACATATCATGGAGGTTGGTGGAGGTCATGTGACAGTCACAGATCAAGTTGTTGTCCGACAGTCGCAGCGTCCGCAGCCGGAACAACTCCGAGAACAGGTTCTCTGGCAGGGACGTCAGGTTGTTGTTGTTCAAAGTCCTGCAACAACAGTTGTCTATGAAGCTTACATATCATGGAGGTTGGTGGAGGTAATGTGACAGTCACAGATCAGGTTGTTGTCCGACAGTCGCAGCGTCCGCAGCCGGAACAACTCCGAGAACAGGTTCTCTGGCAGGGACGTCAGGTTGTTGTTGTTCAAAGTCCTGCAACAACAGTTGTCTATGAAGCTTACATATCATGGAGGTTGGTGGAGGTCATATGACAGTCACAGATCAGGTTGTTGTCCGACAGTCGCAGCGTCCGCAGCCGGAACAACTCCGAGAACAGGTTCTCTGGCAGGGACGTCAGGTTGTTGTTGTTCAAAGTCCTGCAACAACAGTTTCTATGAAGCTTACATATCATGGAGGTTGGTGGAGGTCATGTGACAGTCACAGATCTAGTTGTTGTCCGATTGTCGCAGCACCATGACACGGACAGAACTCAGAGAACAGGTTCTCTGGCTCCTGCCCAGAGGAGTGCGTTCCTACGTCAGGTTGTTGTTGTTGTTCAAAGCCCTGCAAAAACAGCTGTATGAAGCTTACGTATCACGAAGGTTGGTAGAATTTCTTCAACAAAACAGAATACGGTCGCGTTTTGTATGTATGTAGATGTAAATTTAAAACTCCATCATTCCTTTCGAATGATCCTAAGTTGATGTTCATTTCGCTTCATTTATATTTCAAACAAATGTCTTTATTCCGTTTGCCAATCCTAACAAAAGATTTACCGGGGATACATTGGCAAAATGTAACTTCCAAATTTTGTTGCAGATTTCTTTTATCAAGCACAATATTTTAAACGTCCAAAAGCCACTACACAGGTTTAGAAGACTGCGGTCGATGGCAGACTCATGAATCACTGAATGCGGCAAGGAGGCAGGTTATTTATTCTAATACCGGCATTGTAAGACGGGCTTCCTGTCACAGAAATCAATAAAACCCATAAATATCAACTTGACGTCAAATTATATCCTTCTTTCCCTGGTGCATAAAATACGCCTTGTTTGCATCGAGAGGGAAAGTAGGAATAGTTCGTACAGAACATACGTTTTTCACCAACTGACCATTGTATTGTATGTTGAACTTAATGATTCCGTGAGCAGTTGAAATGACAACTAAGAAAATCTTAATCAATTAGGCGTAATCAAATTTGTAGGGAAATTTACAACAACAAAAAAATAGAATAAAATGAACTTTGAAAACAATTAAGAAATAATGTGATTACTTAATTATTCGCTAAACCAAAGATATTACTACAACAGATATCGATAAACATAGGATTTATAACTGAACGTAAATTTGTAACAATATTTGAATAAATCGCAAAGATATTACACTATTTAATTTTTGTCAAATTTTGATGAAATTTAGTTTAAAAGTGTAAGGCGGGATTAACTTGAATGAGTTCGCGAACCGGCATGATCGGACCATAGGAAGAGTTTTACCGGGGGTTTTAAAGGGTAAAAATGGGTTTTCTTATTTTTCACCCTCAAAACACAAAATGTCGGCAATTTCTCTCTAGACCTGTTTAAACAAATAATTTAGTATATCAAAGTGTTTTTGTACTGTTATTGGTAATGGATCAAATTCAAAAAATTGTAAATTTAAAATTCCCATGGTATTCTTATGGAGAACATTGTAAAATGTTGTAGTTTGCTTGTTTATGTATATATTTTAATCAAACTTGGCAAATTTATTTATTTTATTCATGGTATTAATATTTTACCAAAAAACACACTTTATTAGTTTCCTTGTAGCAGCAAACCTAGGTACTCGTTAACCCTGATGTTATTTAAATAGATTTTATTGAAAATCAATTCAGACAAATGGAAATTCACTTAGACGGCAGGTTTGCTGCGGCGAGGATATTAATAACAAACGTATCTTGTTGTATCACAATAATTAGATAGAAGTAATCATTAAAAAAATAACGAGCCTGGATAAATATCTCTATGGCTAATTTTAAACATGAAAACCCCCAAGAATTGTATAAAATCTCCTTGGACCCAAGAAGTTAAATAAAGTACACATAATATTTTGCATCATCACAGTAAATGATGGAAATTTCTATTTGGGAAAGCGACGCTGGTAAATATATTCGCTCGTAAAACAATAAAGTTGTTTGTGGCGCGACTCAGGCGGGGGAGATTATTTATGTGTTCACAAACTTGGCCCAGATTTAATGGCATAAAAATAACAAATTGTCTCCTTAAAGAAACTAAATTGTTCCCTTTCTTTCCTGCCGTCTCAAGTTCTTCCTGAAACGCGACATTTATTGATGTAAAAGGCAGTTTTAAACTTGCTTCAACAAATTCTACGTTTTATAACGTACTTTCAATCGAATAAATGTAACTTCAAGTGAAACTATAATTGTGAGGGTAAATACGAAACACCTGTTTAATCCATCAAACCCGTTCGCAATCTTACATTACAATCATTTTTAAAGCAGTTTTTTCATTTCATATATACATGTAAACCTACTCAACTAATATAAATTATGACTGAATGAAATAAGTATGTTGAATAAATAATGTTTACAAAAACTCCCATTTGAAATAAAATTTAATGAAATTAACTCTTTATTTTAGAGGCAAAGTTAGGTTGTGCAAGTTCTCTCCCTTACACACCCCATAACATTAACCTCTTGTTTATGGCGTATGTTATCAATACATTGATAGTGATTGGTAAATCACTCGTTTGGTATGCCTTACGACAATTTAACCCAAGTCTCAATGCATCCTTTTCAAGCATTTTAGTTGACCGCTGACATTTCTCTTCAATTCTTCATTAAAATCATCTCTGAAGTTACATTATGTAGTCGAGATCAACAGAGTTATTTAGTGGCGGTGTCGGCTTTATAGTCCAATATCGTCGACATTCGTCTCGCCGATTATTACTTCCGTAACACTTACTCCAACCGTAAACCTAATCACGTCCCCGGAGGTCTCCGTCAGTTAACACGTTTATTTCCTCGGATCCGTCTCTAATTGCTTACACTTTGAGTAAATCCGCTTTGCTTTCACCCATTAAACGTTCACGTTACTCGGGGAGATTACCGTGTTTAAATCCCGAAGATATACTAATCGTGTGAAACTATGTAGTCGGAAACTGGGCATGAGGAGTTCATTAGTAAAGTTTAAAGCTTGAGAAGAGGGAGTGAAATGGTTGCGCTTTTTTACGAAATGATTCAAAAACAAAATGTGTGTTCTACAGCAGCTAACGACCGTGTAGTGCGATAATTAGCAAGAAAACTTAAAATCAGCTTAACAAGCGCGAATTTGTTCCCAAACAGTCATTCAACACACAGCGTGAATCACTGACTTTCTCAATAAATGCAAATCATACATTGGTATAACAATTTCTACAACATGGGTTCCTAGAAATAAGAGCGGTTGATGAGCCTTTTCGTGCAATTTTGTAGGCCTATATGTGTAGTGGGTAACAAAAGGGATTTTGTATACTGATTCATTCACCAAATTTTCAATCGACTTTGAAGAATAGAGCAAAACCATATAACGACTGACTGTAAGAGTGGATCACCTAAACACCTCCGGTACTAAACAGTAGGCCTACACGTGTATTTAACAGAGAAGCGACCCACGGAGGTGAGATGAAAACCATCAAGTTGCTGCCAAACTCCTCTCATTATTTCTCTTGTCGAGAGTTTTGGATCACAAGTCGAGTAAACATCACTCCCTGATACCCGCTATTAAAGGTATCACGGGCTGAAACTTTTAAAGGCCGACTAAAGCCTGGCTTTTTAATTGCGAGTTTTGTTTATTAATGCATTAAATGGCATTTTCATCTTTTTATTCCGATAAATATGTATTTCCTGTCCTGCTGGGAAGTTTTCTTAAATAATACATCAATTAAGTTTAGTTTTCTATGTATTATACAACCTAGAAAGAACTCCAATAACAATCGTAAGACTTTTTTTGTTTATAGGTGATGGAAAAATAATATATAAGAATATCATTAACTATGAGCTTGAATTTGGTCTAAATTGATAGGAATATACTTTGTCATCAGACCTATTAATTCAGATTCCAGCAAACAATTAAAGTGTTTAGTAACATTTTAATACTACAGTTATTTACAAAGACAGTTATGCAATTCGACTGGCATTTACAGAGAATATATAATCAGGATATTGTGTGTATGTTTGTTTATAAACATGTTTGATTAATGGACGATGACCGAATTCCAGTGTGAAAAATGAGAGACCTCAATCGCGCCTTTCACGTATTCTGGCTACAAATGTGTCCAGATTTGCATAAGCAGCCCATAAAGTGGAGAGGAATGCCAGCATTATGTAAAGGAGCTGATTAAGTCTCCGACAATGGGAATCAAAATATTAGTCCGGTAAGTTGACAGGGTCGGCCCACGAGGCGCCCACTAGGGCAGGGCTGCTGCGAATGTCTCATTGCCCACAGCCCACGCACTGGGCAACTGAATGCAACCGTGATTGTCTACAATTGAAAGTCGACAAGTAAACATACGACAGTGGAACTAATCGAATGTTGTATTTGCTCCGGAGATATGCAACGGCACTGAGAATAGATCGACACATTCGTTACTGTGTCTGGTATTTATTGGTCTTTGAGCATTCATAGATAATGTTGGGAAGAGGAGGGGTAGAGAAAAGCGTTAGAGCAAATTGACTTACGACAACTGGCAGTAGTAATCGTGGTCTTGCAACGCCTTGGAATCTTAATTCAATAGCTCTAAAGTATTATGATAACTCATTGTTCTAAAAATCATGCACACCCTAAAACAAAATTAGTTTAATAAAATAGTTTAATAGTTTAAAAATAGTTTTATTAATTATAAGAAAAGATACAGTTTAGTGACAAGTTTTAGTTTATTCCCACAACATTGTCACAATAAGATTGTTCTAATGACTTACTGGGAATTTAGTTCAACGAATCATCTTAGAGTGTCTCTATCGTATGAAAATGAGTCAATATATTTTTTTTCATTTTCTCTCCTAAAATTGTGTTTCAGATTAAAAAAGCAAGATTTAAGTCGAATGTACGATCACAACTACAAACTACGTGAACTGAACAGAGATTCCGAGCTGATTCCTCGAAGAACAGCCTTGTCTATAAATCACGGTACAATCTATGACATCTCGATTCCAAAAGAAATACTCGAATGTCTGCGCAGTAGATCTGTGACCGTGTAGGTCGCGTCACTGGCTGCCATAAACTGTGACGATGTGGTTGTGGGGGACTGCGACATGTCGCTGTGGGCGGCGACTCGCGACATGTCGAACATCTCAATCACTAGAACCAGTCGTCCGGCAGGTTGACTGTTGACGACACGGTATCTCCAGTGATATATGAACCTCATTCCCTAACGGATAGTATTCCCGGTCAAATCCACGTCCAGGTCGTTAAAACCGATTTTAAAAGCACCATTTAATCATCATGCTCCAAAATATATGGTGGGTCCATTTAAATGGGTACTTTGAATATTATTAACTTTCACAAAACATCATCTGTTCCGAGTTGGTTTGTTCCACCAAGGGGCGTTGGAAAAATAAACCAACACATGTATTTGTTGCAAGTATTTGGATTAACATGTTTGTACTTGTTTGGAAAAGTATTAAACACGTTATACAACTTTTAAACTAGAAGTGCTCCAAACAAATTGTTAATTGAATGAATGAATTTAATTGTCAACCTTTTTATACGAAATATTTAAAAGGTTTACACAAAGCAGTACGCACTTAACCAATATAAGAGTAAGAACAGATAAGTTGATAATGCAAAATTTAAGCTGTTTACAATATAATATCGCCCTGTAAAGTTAAGTAAAGTAAAGTGTATTATACTGTATAGTCATAGGTTCCACATCAGATAGCCCCTACAGCGAGTCCATCATACATGTTACCAATATGAAACTTTGCAATTAGTTACTCACAGTATCTCTAACTCCTTGAGGCTACTGACTGCCACCTCGTCCACACATGTTAGGTGGTTGTTGTCCAACTGCCTGCAACAACACAACAACACTGCATAACTATGTAAAACAGAACAACCAACATCACTGTAAAATCAACAAAGAGTGTGAACGATGTGATACAATTTGACCGTATTTAATTTAAGGTGATAAATAAGTGTCTAAATTATGTCGTGGTCATCGGGTGTATTTTAAGTTTATGGTGTGGACCTCTTATTGTACAATTCAAAGAGATATTGAAATAATAAACTAGTAAACCAGTAAAAGGTTTTTATTAAATTATTTTAAGCTTAAATGAACGTAATTTTAAAAGTATATTTTTAACCTTTAACCTTATTTTATTTTAAGTTAATATAAATCTAACTGTTAAAGGTAAAATTTTCTTCTTTGAACATTATTAATTTACAATGCCTTACATATGTAGCCACTGAAACCTCAGTAGGTTTTTGGTCTCACCACCAACAAGTAGCCACCTATCTCTGTCTTCCGTCAATTATGTCTCTGCTGTTATTAGTAGAGGCAGAATGGACGGAACGTTCTATTCATATACAATGTTACTGTAAAATTTATGAATATAACATTTGTATTAATCCATGATATGCGTCTTAACCATGAAGGCAACTGGTTTCCACTTTAATCTTAAATAATTCGATTTGTAAAGTCTCTCTGACACAACAAAACCTCAAGGATGTTAAAGTCGACCAAAAAGCTTGTCTGGAATAATAATATGGATCTTATCCTACGATCGTATCGATAATGTTGCATAATTAAATATTTGCAGACGGAGCGAGTTTTGAAATGGAATCCAATTGTAGGAGAATACTGTTCATTCCTGCAGCTCCCGATGCCATATTCAATTCCCGCTTAACTCACGTTGCTGATAGAATGCCATTCGATCCTTGCAGTTCAATTGTGTTGTGTTATAAAATATAACCAGATACTCTGATTTGTTTCTAAGTGATGTCAGGTTTCCTATAAGAAGTTTTGCTCTCCCTTATATATATTTTTAGACTCGGAAGTAGTCCTATAGTAAAATAACCAAACCACGTGTTGTAAGCGAGTTTATCTAGAAAGAGTGAATACCAGTTTGTTTTAATCATCCAACTAAACAAACTCTGTTGCTCTTACATACTCAACTTTTCCCGGTGTTCTCACATACCTTCTACGTTCTATCACCTACCCAGCCGGAGTTCTACGCAAGTGAAACTACGTCATTAGTTTTTCCCCACCCTGTACAACGTATTGCATAGCAAGTAGCTGTACTTACAATGTTTTGACTGCCGGGATACCTCTCAGCGTCTTGCGGCCGATCATCTGCAGTTGGTTGTGACTGAGATCCCTGGAACAAAAATAAAACATCAGTTAACTGCAGTAAAGCATGCTGGATACAATCACGGCTCCTAAAAAGTAATGAGTATTTTATATTCTATTGCATATAGCTCTAATATTGGGTGCGGAATGCGTATTCTAGCCGTTGTTTCAAAATGAAAGTGCGTTCTTGTCTCTAAGTGACTAAATGATCACTACATTGCTAAGACGTGAGTGCTAGTGTTTGTGTGTGTTGTGTGGTCAGTGTACGACTGCGGTTTGACCGCACAGTAGCCGACCGCAGCAGCTGTTACCGCAGTTGTAACACAATTTGATACTAGTCACACTTTGTCTTGGGGTGTCGATTTCAGCATTCGACACAACAAAATACAACACGTTTGACTGTTTTATAGTACATTCTTTAAGACATCTTATTTAAAATTACGTCTTTAATTTATGTTTATCGGTTGTACGAGTAATATCAATCTAAGCAACGAGATGTTTTTTTGTTTATACGTTTTCTACAAAGTGTTTCAGCCCGACTCAGTAGCATCACGGATGACACGACACGCACACACGTATTACATTCACAGTATCGGAAGGCCTACAGATGATATAATGCGGGTGGGTGACAAGGTTTATAGGTGCATGTTATAAACCACTCAACCATCAACATCCATCACCGCAACCGCTCCTGACTACTGGCCCAGTCTCTGCCGCGATTGATTATTCGATGGTTCATTCGCGTGTCTCTGCCTCGTCTGTTACTCAGATCTCAAGTGGCTGTCTCATCGAGGATCGTCAATTCTGTGACTTACCGCAGCCGCAGCCGCAGCCGAGCACTGCCCTCATCTCTATACAAACCATGTGTAAGAAATAAATGAGATTGACTTAAATGTTTACATATTGTTATCATTTGTGCATAATCCGAGTCTTTTCAAATTCCCAACTAATATGGGGTCACAACTGGGCGTGTATATGGACCCAAAATTTTGAAGGATGAATGAAGAATAAAGTGGGATGTCTTGTGTAGCACAGTTGATGACTAAAGTAAAGTGTTTCCTTATCAATCTTTCTTGGGGTCAAAACTTTATTGAATGTGTCTTGCAACAAAATAAAAATAATATATACGAGGCAAGTCTGTCTCTTTAGTCTAGATATTGGAGATCTTACTCTTCGAAAGAAAGAAGGTCCATTCTATTGGAAAATTACATTTTGTACTCCAGTTGGATTTTCAAATAAAGTAGTCTGGCCCACCAAATTTTTGTGGATGTACGAAGTCCAAGACGGATTTGAATGCTTAACAATAGTTTATAAAGAATACTTTTTTCATAATTTAATATGTACTCGTACGAGTATTTAAAAGTCATTTAAAAAGATACATCCTCATTCCCAATGTTTAGCTCATTATTTGACACGCGGTCACGTAGGTCGCTACTGTGGAGTTTCTTTGTCCGGGCCAGGTAGATGATGTGAGATGTGTCGGACAGATACACTGACACAGCACTGAGGGTGTATATGATGTTATCAGTCAGCTGCGGTGGCAGACAAAGGGTCTGGACCAATCAGAGCGATGTGGCTTGTTAGCGATGTCATTTCCCGCCAAAATAATCTCAACAAACGCGCCCTGGGACCCTCCGCGGGAGCTTTCATTCGTGTAGACAGGTTTGGCCGCCAAATATAGAGACAGCCAGAACATTTTCTTACAAACTATCTTTACAGTCAATAATGATGAAAGTGTACACATATTAATAAACTAAAACCATACATAAAACACCCTGGTTTGATAAACGTCACATTCCTTTAGAGTACTTGTTTATGAATTTACTACTTGAATAAAATCTTACTTTTTGTTATTAGAGAATACGTTCTCCGCAATATATTAAATCTGAGAAACGCGCGGTAGCATGTTTTCTCGTCTCAAAGAAGTAATTGTTGCAGCTACCAATTAACAACGATTAAGGACGAAGGATTTGTAATCCTCTGCAGCACAATACGCAGGATTAGCGCTTCGGTCCACGCGAGCTTAGTACAGTATGAAACCTGTTAAAATGTTTACCTTCTCACATTAGACTTTCTGTTGGTAAACATGTTTTTCTATTTAAATAAACATGTAAAATGTTTCGTTTAGGAATCATTAAGCCATCATTTAGGGTCTCAATCATTAAGGGTACAAAGTATTGAAAATATCATTGTTTCTACGTTTTCATATCCATCGCGATGCACTATTTCAACAGTTTACTAAAAAGATAAAGAAACTGTATTCGTTCATTTATAAATTGAATTGATTATTTATAAATATGCAGTAGATATTGATAATTTTAAAGCTGCAATTTTAAGTAACAGCTATTATAACAAGTCAAGATGTGACTTTATGTAGTAGGTATTACTCAGTGCAGGGCTGTAATTTAATATAACAGCTATTGACACGAGTATAGTTCCAATTTTATTGATACGTGTAGGACTGTGATTTTATGAAGGTTGTTTCGAGGAACCGATGATCAGCGAGATGTTTGCTCGAACCACTTCAAGGTGAGTTTACTTCAAGAAACGACGCTTTTACGTTTTACGGTCGCAGGTTTAATGGGGTGGCGGGTGGCGGGTGGTGAACTGGTGCACTGGTGAACTCACACGTCGACTGATTAACATATAAACACTGTGGCGTGAGCGTGCCACTGGAGACGAGCACGAACTGTTATGACGAGGAGGAGAACAAGAGAAGAGGGACCAAGTATATATCATCTAGTTCGAATAGACACCACGACAAAAGAATGTGTTTGATGCAAAACAGTAACTGTCGAATGAACTTTAAACCTTGTAATGCAGACGCAAGCTCTAGTCGTATAAATTAATCACTGATACATTAAGTCACACACTTATCAATGGCTACGTTCTACATCAAATCACGTATCCAGAGTTACTACATAAAACCGTGTTCAAACTTACACATACTTTTCTCCTGCTTTATTAGTGGAACTACAGGCTGAGTTAAACATTGATCCACCACGCATGGTCAAGGGGTAAGGCCGAATTACTCTTAGCCTCATTATATATTTGTCCAAAACTAATTTGCAGTATGAGGGATTTCAGCTTAGGCCACCATGACTAGAGTCCCGGAACTCTATATTCTGGACCAGCCAATACTCTTTACGAAAATAACTTTTACGAGTAATTCATTCAGTGATGCTTTCGTAAAAGACACATTACCAATTTTATAAAATGTTACATATATTAAGTTGTTACATGCTATAATTTATAATGTAGATAATTCACCTAATTTTATTTCTTGGCTAACAATCCTTAGTGTGGAAGGAAACTTACATTACATCCTAGTCAATAAGGTAAAAAAGTAATTGAACATGTTGAAACAAAACCTGACATTAAATTTGGCTAGTAAAATAATCCTTTATGTTTGCGGAGATACATTTTAACCTCGTTCGTCCTTGAGGAGCTGTTACATGTACATAAGTAAACCGGTTCATTAGCGGAACACAAGTGTAGCGTACAGAATAACTCATTATCTGATAGTCTGGAATTTATTCTCTAAACAATCTCATTAGTGCGAGTTGTAATTAACCATTACCCTATGTCCCCTGCCGCCTACATCACAGATGTGTAGTGTTGGTTTCGCGTGCTCTCGGCTCATCTGTTTCCAATTCGATCTCAGCGGCATGGGACTTATTGAATGTCCGAGTGGTCCGTGTGCCGCCATACCGCTCTACGCTCTATACTGCTCGTGTATCATGGGACTTATTGAATGTCCGAGTGGTCCGTGGTCCGTGTGCCGCCATACCGCTCTACGCTCTACTGCTCGTGTATCATGGGACTTATTGAATGTCCGAGTGGTCCGTGTGCCGCCATACCGCTCTACGCTCTATACTGCTCGTGTATCATGGGACTTATTGAATGTCCGAGTGGTCCGTGTGCCGCCATACCGCTCTACGCTCTACTGCTCGTGTATCATGGGACTTATTGAATGTCCGAGTGGTCCGTGTGCCGCCATGCCGCTCTACGCTCTACTGCTCGTGTATCATGGGACTTATTGAATGTCCGAGTGGTCCGTGTGCCGCCATACCGCTCTACGCTCTACTGCTCGTGTATCATGGGACTTATTGAATGTCCGAGTGGTCCGTGTGCCGCCATACCGCTCTACGCTCTACTGCTCGTGTATCATGGGACTTATTGAATGTCCGAGTGGTCCGTGTGCCGCCATGCCGCTCTACGCTCTACTGCTCGTGTATCATGGGACTTATTGAATGTCCGAGTGGTCCGTGTGCCGCCATGCCGCTCTACGCTCTACTGCTCGTGTATCATGGGACTTATTGAATGTCCGAGTGGTCCGTGTGCCGCCATACCGCTCTACGCTCTACTGCTCGTGTATCATGGGACTTATTGAATGTCCGAGTGGTCCGTGTGCCGCCATGCCGCTCTACGCTCTACTGCTCGTGTATCATGGGACTTATTGAATGTCCGAGTGGTCCGTGGTCCGTGTGCCGCCATACCGCTCTACGCTCTACTGCTCGTGTATCATGGGACTTATTGAATGTCCGAGTGGTCCGTGTGCCGCCATGCCGCTCTACGCTCTACTGCTCGTGTATCATGGGACTTATTGAATGTCCGAGTGGTCCGTGTGCCGCCATACCGCTCTACGCTCTACTGCTCGTGTATCATGGGACTTATTGAATGTCCGAGTGGTCCGTGTGCCGCCATACCGCTCTACGCTCTATACTGCTCGTGTATCATGGGACTTATTGAATGTCCGAGTGGTCCGTGGTCCGTGTGCCGCCATACCGCTCTACGCTCTACTGCTCGTGTATCATGGGACTTATTGAATGTCCGAGTGGTCCGTGTGCCGCCATACCGCTCTACGCTCTATACTGCTCGTGTATCATGGGACTTATTGAATGTCCGAGTGGTCCGTGGTCCGTGTGCCGCCATGCCGCTCTACGCTCTACTGACTCAATAATAAGACTCAATAAGACTCAATAAGAATTTATTAATGCCATTAAACTTAGTACAGTAATAGGCAAC